TTCACGCGTCGAACCCCGCCGAAGGTGACTTGGTCAACCAAGTGCACCCTGTCACAGGTCGCATGATGTACGTGGGACTGTCGGAATTGATTGGTCGGGAAGTGAGCGATATTGGCTGCGGCGGGCAAATCATCATCACGGCCCCCATCGTTCGGTGGCTGCGCATCAACTTGGCGCAGAGAACTGAGTGGGCGAAAGCTCATCCATGCTTTTACCTCGATATGGGTTTGAAAATCATGACATGAATTGTTGGGATGTTAACCGTTTTTTCCTTAGGTGTCCACCACATCGAAGACTTGAGAATCGACTTGGGCATTGCTCAGTTGGTGCCAATGGACCTCATGGAGCGTGTAGGGATGTTCCCCCCGCTTCGTAGCGGAGGTCGACTGGATATCAGTCGAACCGCCGAGAACCATTACTCGCTCTTGATTTCCCCCGTTCCACATCGTTGCCCCCGCCGCGCAGCTACTTCCTTGGTGGCTTAAGAGCGTCAGTTTACCTATAGAATGCATGAAACAGAAATGTACCACCCCGCTACACTCGCCGTGTAATGTTATCGAGCACAAGTTAGTCATTGCAGCAAGGGTGGATTTTGGAACTGAAGCGGACAATACTATGAAACCGCTATAAAAATAAACTCGTAAAGTGCCTGGAACGTTGTGTTGGTTTGCAACAACATGAAATTCAGATTAAACTTTGGCGTTTGCAATTGTGTGCCTAACATTAACCGTTCGTTTTGTTTGCTTAATTTACGGTCAGTTGTAGGTTCCCGAGGTATTGTCATCGAAAGCACATGGCGCTGGACGACTGAATGGGTACGTCCCGAAGTAGAAAACCATTACGTTATTGTACTTCCTGTGTGGCGTGACCACTGAGTCAGTTTTATAAGTACCTCCCAATAAACATCAGCGACTCAAAAGCAGTCGTCGAAACCGCTTCGAAATCTATGAAACTGTCTTTGAAACTGTGAAACGGTTTTGAAACGCTATGTAACTGTCTCGGTCATGATATTACTACATGTAGTAGGACATAGGGAGTACTACAGTAATATTGATAACGAGGGCCTACGCATACTTAAGAAGTTACAAACTGTGGATGAAGAAATTATTGCACATAGTTATGGGTGGGAATAGGAGTACAGTAGTGTGTGTACTCTATCAATATCATTTGAGCATTTTCCATTTTGAAGTTATTTTGACCATTTTGAAACGACCAACAATCACAGAGGGTAACGTTCTCTAAAACTGTTAGCAAGGCTGTGCAAGCTGTATCGTATCCGAACCCCGATATTGTCGAGTGATAACAAATAATGTCCGTATGTAAGCACCGCCATGGAGGCTCTGAAATTGAAGGTGGTGTCCTCGTCGTCGTGAATTTGCAGCCTTCAATTACCTGATTGACCCAGTGATTACGAAAACGCTCTGCATCATCGAGTTGTCGCGTCGCATCAGTCGAGTCAGTTACAACACCAGAGCGCTCTTGGACGATTATTTCGTGATTGTTTGGAACACGTTGTCGTTTCCCACGTTTGCAATTGGCCCGCTTTGCATCTCCGACCTCGTGCATATCATGGACGACCAATCGAATCCCGCGATTGGCAATCGTTTCACAGCTCTGTTTCACAGCTCTGACTTGTTTCGTACACGATTCAAGACGCCTGACAACGAAATGGTTTCACAACTACCTCAACATGCGTTGTTTTAAATCTTCCCCGAAAGAAACAAGCTAACGCAGTCACGGGACGACGACTCAGCCTGTGCTTTTTAACCGCAACAAGGCCTCCAAGCGGAGTCATAGTCCAGACATATACAAATCATGGGGGCTACAGATGACGACCCCTCGTATGCTTTCCCAGCGTGGACGCTCTTGTACGTGGTCGTGATGGCCTTGTCCCTTGCGGCGTCGTTCACGGCAGCGCTGGCCCTGCACAAGTACTCGAAACTCGTGTCGTCGTGCATCTGCTACGCCATGTTGCACTTTTTCACGTGGAAGTCCATCTACTCGCTGTTCCGGATCACGGTGCTGGCGGTGCTCATGGAACAGTTCAACCACAAGTCATCAACTTGGTTCATTCTCGACCGAGACCACGACATTGGCGGGTTTCGCTTGGTCGGACACGAAAACGCAGACCACCTTGGGGACGTGGGGCCCCCTCCGTTTTACGTAAAAATGGCCCTATTCATCGGGGACATTTCGTTGTTGTCGGGGTCGTTTTGGATGTTTGTGCTCGTGGCGGAACTGTTGCGCTTGGTGGTATGTATGGTTTGAATGAACTTCACTTTGACGTTCATTCGGTGACCGTAGAA